ATCTAATCCTGCGTTTATTTTTAATTCTGTCAGTGTTGGTCCTCCGTACTGCAGAAACCTGATAATGATTTATTGCTTCATATCAGGTGTGTTGGAGCAGAGAAACAGGGTTAGTTTAACACTTTATAACCTTAAACCTGACTTAAACCTGACTTAAACCTAAGCCCCAACCCAAACTGGAGTCACACCATATAACGAGTGGTCTGTGGTCCCAGTAAAGACTACTGGTCCTGACTGGGTGGATGTTTGTCTCAGACGGTCCTGGACTGTGTGACATCATCAAGGCTTGGTTTCCACTCTGCTCATTATGACTTTCATCTGTGCATCGATGGGTTGTATTTAATACTGTAGGTGATGAATTGTTTATTAAATAATTTAAATTTTCTCAGAAAGGCTCATTTAAGCAGAAACTCTGCATTAAGAGCACACCGTGTTGCATGAAAATATGAATAAATTCCATTCATTAGAAGTGTTTGTATTTCACATTTTGTAATTKCACGTCTGTTTCTTGTCTACATCGTGATAATTTCAGTTAATAGTCTGAGAAACAGACACTTTCTGACTCCTAATGTCTCATTCTGACAGTCTGTCTCTTTTTCTATTCTTGCACACTTCTTTATATTATATTTTTATTATCAGTGTGAATGCATTGTTTTCATGTTTCTCTGTATTATTATTGTTACRATCACTATTCTGTACGTTTTTTGGACCCTATCTCACAATTATTGTGCTGTTTSTACAGTTCATGTATGAAGATGTTCAGCTCTCTCTRGTCATCCCAGCAGTGACTCGTWGTWTCTTTAATCTTTATACTTTTTTATTTGACAGTTTTTACACAGTTTTTTTCCCGTTGACTTTGAATTGGGCACGTTTTTGGACGGCTTCTCCTTCCACAGTTTTGTGCGACTTAAACCATTCGTATAAGAAAATATTCAGGTCCTTCAGGACGTTCCGGTTATTATTTTTAGAATCTTAAATATTTATAGTTTTTAGGAGTTTTAATTTTAGAATTTGATGATGTTATCAGTGACATCATCAGTTAGTTTCTTAGCTGTTTTTAAGCTAAAGGAATCAGCAAGAGGCTTTCACACGAGCATTTTCACCGGAAATGCAAGTTCTCTAGTTAGTAGTTGTATCATGGCCGGTCAGTGTTAAATTTGTTGTGTATTTTGTTGTGTACTATGTGTAGTTTGTAAAGTAACCAGTGTGTTGATGCTGCAGTGACACCTGAACTTCCCCTCAGCAGGACAGTAAAGTCTGTTTCTGTCCCATCCTAGTCTCTGTGGGCTTTGGAGCATCGCTCTACTTAACTTTGTGTAGAACTGGACATTAGAAACTGACACCAGAATATTTAATTAGAAGCCTAGAATAAAATAAATGTTTGATGGGTGGTCCGAGGCACTGCCACGCCCCCCACAGCTGCAGTAAGACCTTGAATTACTTTCATTTCTATGAAAACTTCCCACTTGGCCTAATTTTGCACTGAATTCATCAGTGTGGTCAGCTTTAACTGACCTGTGTTTGTGTGTTTGTGTGTGTGTGTGTGTTTGTGTGTGTGTTTGTGTGTGTGTGTGTGTGTTTGTGTGTTTGTTGGACACGTGTCCTCCAGGTGTCCCAGTCGACCGGTTACTTCGAGCTGCAGCTGATCTCTGTGGAGAACCTGAACGGGGAGCGGGCGGACGGGGAGTGTTGTGACGGCGCCCGCTCCCCGGACCGGCGCTGCTCCCTGGACGAGTGCGACACCTTCCTGCGGGCGTGTCTGAAGGAGTACCAGATGGAGGTGACCACCAGAGGTCCCTGCACCTTCGGAGCCGGGTCCACCCAGGTCCTCGGTGGAAACTCGCTGTCTTTCAACAACAACGGGAACAAAGTGGACGAGGCCGGCAAGATGGCCATCCCCTTCCAGTTCGCCTGGCCGGTGAGTGCAGAGCTCAGGTGTTCCACCTGTGGGTCCGTGATGGTTCTAAACGCTGCAGAACATCCACAAACACAAGTTATTATTTTATAAAACTGATCTGAGATCATCTTCTGAGGAGAAGAGACAGTTTGACTGTCAGTGACTGTGATGTGAGCCACCCTCAGATACTACCACACAGTTTAACTTGTTARTTTTAAAGGTTTCCAGATGTTTGTTTGGGCTGACATCTGGAATCAGAACCATTAAAATGTGATGTGCTCCTTTAAAAATATCTCTGTTTGTCTGGAAAGGGAACATCCTGCTGAGAGGAGCTGTTGTTGAAGTAACAGGAAGTGATGTCAGGAGGGAATATCCAGGTTTCTTTAGATGATGATGTCATAGTTCAACAATATTGTTTCAATAAATAACCTTTTAAAGAGTTCCTGTTTGATGTCACTTCCTGTTTCACTTGGAGCTTAAAGTCAGAAGGAAATGTTCCAGATTTGTGACAAAATGTGTGAAACTGAATCAAATCAACTTTATTAAATACGGAGTTGTTGTTGTGTTGTTGTGTTGTTTGTCTCTGGCTCTTTGTGTGTTTGTTGTAGAGATATTTGAGTTTTACTAAAGTCTGTTGATTTTAACGAGTAATGTCCCAGTTTAAATATTTCAGTTTGTTTGGAGTGTTTGTTGTTGTTGTTGTTGACAGATATCTAGGGTTGTATTTGATACAGATCTTGATGAAATCATGATATATTTCAGTGCTGGATTACCTTATTTTCTGTAAAATATTCATTTTAAAAAGCTCAGTATAAAGAACACAGCATGATTAAATCAGATTAAACTCAGTGAATTAGAGCAACTTTTGTTTTTCACATTTCTTCATTAATTCCTTCAATATGAAATATCACATCAGGAAATATCTCCATATTTCAGTGCATCAATATTTTCTTACATCCCTACAAATGTAAAGCTGCAGGGAACGCTTGTTTCTGTGGCGGCCATGTTGGGAGGAGGAGGAGGAGGAGGAGGATCACAGCTGAAGATGACTGGAAGTCAAGTGTTTAAAGTTTCTGTTTTATGCAAATCAGGCTGAAACAGACGAGCTGTCGCAGGTGTGTGTGTGTGTGTGTGTGTGTGTGTGTGTGTGTGTGTGTGTGTGTGTGCGTGTGTGTGTGTGTGTGTGCGTGCGTGTGTGGGTCCTGCTTCAATGAATTGTGTGTAAAAATGATGAATTGTGACGTTATCCCATGAGCTTGAATGATGTGTTCAGCTGAAGTGAAGGATGCCTGCAGGCTGTGGTTCTGCCTGGTTTTGACACCTCCTGCTCCTCACCTCCTCCTCCTGCTCCTGCTGAGGGGGCAGGTGGCCCCTGGTGGCCCTTTCAGGGCTCTTGAAGCTGGTGTGACTGCAGATGAGTGATAGCTGCTGAATTAGACACATTAAAGAGAAGAAAGGTTAGGAAAGTTTTTAAATCTGGTTTTCACTCCTCGTGCAGCTTTTCACAGTTCTTATTATAAACGGATTAATTTATAAACGGATTAATTTAAAGTTTATAAGTTTTTGTTTCTGTTTCATACAGATTTTATCACATGTTTGTTTTGTTTGTTTGTGTGTTTGTTTTGTTTTGTTTGTGTGTTTGTCGTTGAATCAGTGAAAGGGTTAAATCTTGGTGTGAATCCTCATTTCATGGTTTGTTTTTGGGGAACAATAAGATTAAAAATCAAGACTTGTAACTAAGTACAAATACTTTGTTACTGTACTTAAGAAGAAATGTTGGGTATCTGTACTTGAGTAATTTTTCAGCCTACTTTTTACTTACATTTTTACACAATTATCTGTACTTACTAACATTTTTAAAAAGGTAAAAAGTAGAAAGTTGTTTTATTTCGGCTTGTTGTTGTTAACAAATGAATAATCTTGAATAATTGTGTCTCCTGGAGAGTGATTTAATTGTGGTTGGATGAAAAGTATAAATACAAACCATTCTGATGCTGTATAGTTTATATACAATTAATCAAAGCTGTGCACCTTTTTAGAAAAAAATATTTTTGAAGAGGTCACCTCCCAATAACTGTATTTTAGAAAATCTAACCATTTTTTACTCAGTACTTTTATTACTTAAGAACATTTTATGTCAGAAATTTACTTTTGATATTTAAGTACAAAATAAATCAGACTTTTACTCAAGTAATATTCTTAGAGGAGACTTTAACTTTGACCAAAGTAATTTTATGAAAAGATACTTGTACTTTTACTCAAGTATCACTTTGAGGTACTTTATACAAGACTGTTAAAAATGATTTGATTTATAAACTCTGGTTTTAAAAAGATCCCAAGAGTAGAGTGGTTGACTCTCATGTTTTATTATTTTAATATAAATCCTGAATGATTGTAACGAGAAGCAGCATCATGAATCCGTTTTAGCCACAGCTCTGTATTTAATGCAGCTCTGACGCTAACATTCGGCTGTCAGTCTGATCCAAGATGGCTGCCGCAACATGGCGTCGAGCCTGTTTGTCTGTTAGCAGAATATTTCCTGGAGCTGAGAGGTGGCTCCAGCTGTGAGGTTTGCAGATGTTGAGCTACAGTTTGGTGCTGACAGGACCTGGAATCAGTGCTTTAGTAAAACTGCAGCTTTCACTGACCTCAACAGGTAAAGAGGATGGGCGTTCTTTAAAAAAAACTCTTTAGTTTGTGTCTAAATGTTTGATTTGTGGTGTTTATCTGTGCATCAGAGCTGTTACTTGTTTTTGTCTTTTGTTTAGACTCACATCCAACACATCAATAAAATGGATTTAAGATTTAATCTCTGGAGTTTTTCTTTTAAAGAAAAACCTTTATTTTGGATTTTGAGGATGTTTTTGAAGGTTTCAGGAGTTCCTCAGTCTCAATGTTTCTGAATAAACTCTTAAATGTGAGTAAGATATGTAATAATACATGTGGACTTGATGTATTTACATCATGTCAGGGTTCCTGCAGCTGCTGTCAGCAGACACACATCACATGTAGACGTGTGATTCCACACTCTGAAGGTGTGGAAGCAGCCAGGCTGCTCTGAGTTTTACCACCTGAGCTGCACGTTCCTGTGGATCAGCAGCGTGCTGCCGTCACACAGACTGATGGACGCCTCCAGGCAGAGGTGAAGAGGCTGATCTGTTGTGTCCTTCTGTTAAGTGCTGCAGCTGATAGTGGTGCACTTCTCCTGTGCCACATGTCACAACAATCTGAGGCAGGTCACCGGCTGTGGTGTCTGTCCTCACCGGAGAGACGTGGCTGCTGGAAGCTCAGCAGACGTTGGTGTGCGCGGACGTTGGTGTGCGCGGACGTTGGTGTGCGCGGACGTTGGTGTGCGCGGACGTTGGTGTGCGCGGACGTTGGTGTGCGCGCAGACGTTGGCGTGCGCGCAGACGTTGGCGTGCGCAGACGTTGGCGTGCGCGCACAGTTAGCGTGTGCAGACGTTGGCGTGCGCGCACAGTTAGCGTGCGCAGACGTTGGCGTGCGCGCACAGTTAGCGTGCGCAGACGTTGGCGTGCGCGCACAGTTAGCATGGATTCTTTAGAAGGCAGCTTGGTCCAGAGTAAGGCTGAGTTATTTTTCTGCTGATGTCTTGTTTGAAGGACAGACTTTTACCTGACACATTAAGGGTGTAAGAAAATATCGATACACTGAAATATCGCGATATTTCA